GCTGGTTAAGAACAAAACTAATATGCATATATAGTCGATACGGGACAGAAACTGAAACGTCTTTATCATTAGATGGTTGAGGTGACCACCAATCACGGGCATAAGGACCGTAGTGCAGTTCGGGATATATTAAGCCTTCCGCAAGCAATAAGACACTATTACGAGACATATTATTTATGGTTTTATTAAATTATTAGAATTGGTTTTGACATTTATAACCGCGAATATTTGTATAATTAAATGCGCGTCACGATTTCTTATACGATGTCGATCATTTTCACTCATTGGCTAATGGATTTGCAATTAAATAAATAATATATTGTAAATATCTGTTTTGGAAAAATAAACAATACTGACTGTTTTGATAATTTTACATATCGATTTTTTGAAAAAGATAAGCTAAGATGTTTACTTTTTTGACAAATTTCCTCAAAAAAAAATAGTAGGTTAATAAAACTTTTTTGTGATTGTTTCTTGTAAGTTTTACGATTGTATAGAGATAACCCAAAGTTTGAAATACTTCTAGTATCATCTTAAATGTTCTGTGTTTTCAAAATATTTTTCTAATTTGAATGCTGAATAGAATAGAGAAATCTACTAACCAAAGCTTGACCTTTACCAAAACTAGTTCAAAGTAAACCGCCTTTTGGTTTTGTACTCTTGGTACTTTGTCGACAACACACCTACATTCATAGGACCAAGTTTATTATTTACTTTAGTGTCTTCTATAACACTAACCATAATTTAGTTTTTTGGACTTGTTGATCAAGAGATTGTCAAAAAGAGTTGGAACTATTTCTGAATAAACCTTATATTCTACTTAAGTATAAACAATATTAGCTACTAATTAATAACATACTATATACTATGTCTGAGACCTCTAAAGATACTGGTAATGTTTTGAGTATCTAATAAAAATGATAAACCAAAAGACTAATCTTAACTATAAAAAAATTTTTTTAACTAAATCAACCCCCAATATCAGATCAGAAGTGATTATTATATAAACATAAATTCTGATTGATGTATCTATATTGATCTTTCATGGTCTTACTAAGATAGCTACCAAAATACAGTATTAATTATTATTATACATACGGACTCAACTCAAAAACCAAGTTCTAATTAGGCTAAAACGACATATATATAGTAAATTCTAATATCGTTCTTGATGCTTGATTATCGCGATTAAAGAACAATAGTAAAATAAGCAAATTTTATTGTTATTTAATACTATTGTTTTTGTTAATATATTACTTTTAATTTAGATAGATCAAAAACGACATTTTGGATGACCGGAATTTACTATATGAGTGTCGCTAAAAGAAAACCCGAAAACTTAAATATGATTTATATTTAAATTTCGGGTTTTCTTTTAGCGACACTCATATGTCGTTTTAGCCTGGTTCTAATCGAAGTCCCTATTTACGGAATCAGAAAGAATCGGACTTTTAACAGCCCTATACGTGTATAAAAACATACCGGGTCTTGTACTAAAAATACAAGTTATAGCCTAGTAATATACCCGGTATAAATCAAGATTCACGGATTTTGTGTAACAGAATATTCATTGAATATTCATTTTATCCGTGAATTCGCGGATCCCAACTCTAATATATATATTTATACAGTATATTTTATTACAAACTTTAAAGCCAAAATTAAACTTTAACGTTAAGGTTAGGATTTTCTAAAATACTAAACATTTTTACTTACGTAGTAGGGATCTGCAAATACCCATGCCGGGCAATTAGGTATCAGGCCAGGTACTACGTAGTGCCACAGACCGCGCCTGCGCCCCTAGGCACAAAATTGTTAGACACATTATAGACGCGGGCAAATAGAGCAGACACTAAAATACCAACTATACATTTTTACATCCATCGCCATAGTTACAAAAGTTCTTGGCCAAATTTTTGTATCCGTGCTCATGCCTGTGCCAATCCGTGCCAAATTTTTGTGCTTGTGCCTTTTGTTAGGCATGGGCATCTGCCCGGCTTGCAGATCCCTATTACGTGAATATCATGTCCGATATTTTAGGTATCGTTCCCACAAAAAATTGGTCACCCTCGGCAATTTTACCAATCAAAATTTAAGATCAGGTGTCAAAACAAAAGTGTTTTGTTTTCTAAGTAAAAAAGTTACATGGGATCTTTGCTATTAAGATGACCCTCCGAAGCATTGTTACACGAGATTTTATTAAGAAAAACATAGTAAATCTATTTTTTTCATAGCAAAGACCCCACATGTAAAATGAAAACCGTGGTATATTTAGGGTTAGGATTAGAACAATATACCGCCTATCAGTAAAACATCCGCAGAAGGTGGTTTCCTAGTTAAAATTAGGGTTGTTAAAAAGCTTGTCGGACCCGGTCCTTGAGTCGACTTCACACGGACTTTTTAGGATCGACTCAAGCCTG